GCAGGCTCGATCCCCAGTAGGGGGTGTGCAGGAGGCAGCTAATCAATGATTCTCTCTCATCATTGATGTTTCTCTCTCTCTCCCTTCCTTTCTGAAATCAATAAAAATATATTTTGTAAAAAAAAAGGATTTCTGGTCTATGTCCTGGTGGTTGTGCCTGGAAGGGTGTGGAGAAAGGGAAGTTACCTTGACATTCCAAAGGTATGCTATTTTAGATGCAAAAAGACAATAGACCAGCTCAGTTAAGGTAAACACTGACCTTTTGTCAAGGGAGATACCAGTTTAGGACATGACTACCCACCATGACTCGCTTTTAGTTTAAAAGTTTTAGTTTCAGACCATCCTATGTGCTTACTTACAGTCTAGTCTCTAAGTTTGTAAGGCTGCTATGCAGGCCTCCCCTGAGCTTCTCAGGTTTAGTATGTGACCCCTTCTTTGTCCACAAACCTTATTTGAAGGGGTCATAGAAGAAGGTCACTCTTGAGTTTTCTTGAAGGAGAGGAGAGCTTGTCTGGTGAACAAGCAGGGAAGGCATTTCAAGCAGGAGAAGAAGCATGTGTGGAGGCACAGAGGAATGTGAGCATGGAATATTCTAGGAATGGTGAGAAATTGGGTTTGTTTCAAGTCTAGTGGATACAGGTAAAGGAAAGGCAAGCCTGTGAAGACTAGAACAGTAGGCAGAGACCAGAAAATTAAACATTTTTTTCTTGATCCAGAGTCACTGGAGCTTTGTTTCTTCATTTTATTAGGTTTTATTTTCCTCCTCCAAATCAGCTTTTGGTTTGTTGACCCTCTCTGTTGTTTCCTTGTTTTCCATTTCATTAATTTTTGTTTTTATCTTTATTACACTTTCTTGTTTTTTAGCATTTTTGGTTGAATTCTAGTTCATTTATGTTTTAATCTTTTGCAAATCAGATAGGATTGTCTTGGGCAGTATGTTACAGAAACCTGAAGACAGTGGCTTATTCAAATAAGAGATTAATTTTTCTCAAGAAATTTTGATAAATTTCTCTGCTGTGCATCTGCTTGAGGATGTCATCAACAATCCAATCTTCTAGCTTCTTATATATAGTGTGTAACTTTTGTTTTTTTGGTTACATGATAGCTGTTTTTGATGCAAGCACCACACATCTTTGCTCCAGTCTATAACAAGGGAGAAGGATAAAGGACAGTTTCACTAAGAAAACAGTAGCGTTCTCAGATGCCACCTAGCAATACTTAATCTCCTTACTAGGGCTCTGCCACCTGGCCCAACCCAGCTGCAAGGAAGATTGCCAGATTGAATGTGTCAACTGAGAACATTGTCATCTAAGATGTTGGGTAAATAATTAGTATTGTCCATTATTATTGTTTTTAACTATCTTTTTATTGTTGATTTCTAATTTTATTTTATCGTGGTCTAGGAATGTGGTTTTTGAGAATTGAAATTTTTGGAGAATTCATTTATGTGCATTTTGGTAAATGTTTTATGTATACTTGAAAAAAAACCCCACACCTGTCTTGTTGGAACAGGATTAGATCAAGTATGTCAGATTTATTAATATGTATGTTATATCCATACTCATTTCTTATCTGAGCTTTTACTGTCTAAGAAGTAGGTTAATTTATTAATATGTATGTTATATCCATACTCATTTCTTGTCTGTTTGAGCTTTTACTGTCTAAGAAGTAGGTTGAAATATGCCTTGAAGATTGTGGATTTGCCATTTTCCTTGTTTGTTTGTTTTTGTCAGTTTTTATGTTGTATATTACTGTTACTGGACAGGAGACCTGGCCCTGAGCCTAGCACCGGCTGGTAGTGTGTGGATTCTTGAATTCATGCAGGAAAGATTTCACATTATGGGTCCAAGTGAGTTTTAGAGGACAGCTATTAAATCTGAGGACAGTGAAACAAGGAAGGGCCTAGGATAGAAAAAGCAACAGGAGGGAGATTAGCTAAGAAGTCAGAGAAGCCCTGGCATATGTGGCTCAGTTGGTTGGGCATCATCCCATGCACCAAAGGGTCACTGGTTTGAGGTGTACAGGAGGCAGCCGATCTGTCTTTCACTCTCACATCGATGGTCTCTCTCTGTCTCTCTCTCCCTCCTTTCCTCTTTCTCTAAAATCAATAAACTATTCTTAAAAAAAAAACAACCACAAGACAAAACAGAAAAAAGGAGGCCTTAGGGACAGGGTTAGGGGGTTAGCCCAGGATGAGCTGCTGCTGCCCATTGCTCCCAGGTTGCAAGTCTTGTGAGGGGTCCCTTAGATGGAGCTTTCATTTTGAGGGTTTCTAAGGCTGGGGGGTGGGAGGGGTTAGGGAAGGTCTTAGGGGAGGACCTGAATAGAATATTCATCAGCTTTATGCTGATGTGCCAAAATGAGATTTATTTCCTCCTTGGGTGTGGTTGGCAAATGGCATTAATTGGGTTTCTGCTATCTGTCTCCCTGAGCAGGGGATTTAAGCTGTAAAATAGGGGATGTTAATAATACCTACCTCATAGAATTATTTTGAGGATTCAATGAGTTAATATATATAAAGCAATTACACAGCAGAACCTAGTATGTAGCTAGTGCTATAAATGTTACCTATATTATTGCTATTATAACACTTTTTTTAATGGTGAAAACATCTTTATAGTTAGAATTAGCCAGCTGGACTCAGTTTAGGTGACCCCAGTTTTGTTGACAACATCTAAAGCGTCATAGTCACAAGTCAGTTGAATATGTGCCTTCTTTCTCCCTCAGGCCTGATCAGGTTTTGACCTTGGCAACGTCATTTTCTTAGTGCTTCGTCACAGCTTGTTTGATCTTGTGCTTGTTGGCCTTGACATCCACAAATGAACAGAACAAATGTGTTGTTGTTTTCTATCTTCTTCATGGCTGACTCAGTAGTTAGGAGTCATAGTGTTCAAGCTTGCTTCACCTGGGGACGCTCTTCCAAGGATATTTGGGCTGCTTTCAGAGCTGCTGTGTCTTGGGCTGTGGGAAGGTGGGTGATATGCATATCTTTTTTGTTGTGGCTGTGGACTCCTTTCAGCCCTGCTTTCTTGACCTTGAAAGCCTTTGCTTTGGCTTCTGCTTTGGGAGGGGCAGGGACTTCTGTTGCTTTTGATGCCATCTTCATGAAAAGCAATGACAGTTTTTTTTTAAACATAACTCTTAACTACTCTGGAATGAAATTAATAGGTAATTAAGGTTACTATTGCTGGTAAGTATAAAACATCACCATGATACCCTAACTTTATGATAAAAGTAAAAGAAAATTAAATTAGTAAAAATAAAGATTTCAGTATGCAAATTTTGGGGCCTGACCATTCTAGAAGAAATAATGAAGTAGTCAGATACTAGTTTTAGATTTAAGAAGAGACAATCAGAAGCCACTCCATGCAAGAAGAAAAATTAAATATTAGAGATAGCAGTGGATATTAGAATAAAAGTGTAATAATCGACCAGACTTACTTATATGTTACTAGTGGCCCGGTGCATGAAATTCGTGCATGGAGGGTATCCCTCAGCCCGGCCTGCTCCCTTTCACAGTCCAGGACCGCTGGCTCTTAACTGCTCACCTGCCTGCCTGCCTGATCACCCGTAACCACTCTGCCTGCCAGCCTGATCAACCCCAATTGCCCCCCCTTCCGGCCTGATCACTCCTAACTGCCTGCCCCTGCCGGCCTGCTTTCCCCCACCTACCCCCCCTTGCCGACCTGCTTTGGGGTGAGGGTCCCTGCTGGGGGGCATGGCCAACCTGGGCGGGGAGGGGCTGATGGCTGTTTGAAGGCTGACCACGCCCCCATCGGGGTGGTGGTCCCCGCTGGGGGGCATGGCCAGCCTGGGCGAGGGGCTGAGGGCCATTTGCAGGCTGGCCACGCCCCCAGCTTTGTCCAGAAGGTGTCCGGAAGGTCTCCCAGTCTAATTAGCATATTACCCTTTTATTAGTATAGATAAAGGAAGAAGGGAAGTAAACTCAGTTGAAACAGGGATTGCATGCCAAGACAAATTACAGATTGATGAAGGAGAGGAAACAAGGAGGCGTGATATATCTTTGCCAACTTTATCAGTGTCTCTTTGTAAAATGTTCATTTAGTCTTGAATATTTTATTGTTTCAATATTTTATTGTTTTAATAGAAACCCAGGTACATGCCCTTGACCGGAATCGAACCTGGGACTTTTCAGTCCGCAGGCCGACGCTCTATCCACTGAGCCAAACCAGTTTCGGCAATATTTTATTGTTTTAATAGAATATTTTATTGTTTAATAGGCAGAAGAGACACATTGATAACTTTGTGGGTAGAGCAAAAATAAATTTTTTACTTATATTTGTTATTTTGAAACAAAAGCTAAATCACTATGAATATAAAAACTAGAAATGGCCTGGGTGATGTGGTTCAGTGGTTGAGTGTCAACCTATGAACCAAGAGGTTCAATTCCCAGGCAGGGCACATGCCCAGGTTGCGGGCTCGATCCCTAGTGTGGGGTGTTTGGGAGGCAGCTGACTAATGATTCTCTCTCCTTGCCCCCAATCATTGTTATACTCAAAACATTTCTCCTGAGCCCTAGCCGGTTTGGCTCAGTGATAGAGCATCGACCTGCAGACTGAAGGGTCCCCCTTTTGATTCCAGTCAAGGGCACATGCCTGGGTTGTGGGCTCAATCCCCAGTAGGGGGCATGCAAGAGGCAGCCAATCGATGATTCTCTCTCATCATTAATGTTTCTATTTCTCCCTCTGCCTTCCTCTCTGAAATCAATAAAAAATATATATTAAAAAAACATTTCATCTGAAAACTTCAAAAACACCTATTATTATTGCTATACCAGCTTACTGTATACTTATGTATACTCACTGTGATTTCTTGACTGCAAGTCCTAAACCATTCATTTAATGGTTAACTTTATTATTAACTAGAGGCCCAGTGCATAAAATTTGTGCACGGGTAGGGTTCCTAGGCCTGGCTGTCGATCAGGGCTGATTGGGGCCTTCCTTCCCCCAGCTGCCAGCTGCCGGCAGCTGGCTGGGGCCTTCCTTCATTCCGTGCCGCCTCCTGGTGGTCAGTGCATGTCATAGTGAGTGGTCAAACTCCTGGTTGGTGGAACTCCCCTCCCCTCCCCTCTCCTTCCCTTCCCTCTACTCCAACCCTTCATAATTATAGTAAAATTCACACAACATAAAATTTACCATCTTAACTATTTTTTAAAATATATTTTTATTGATTTCAGAGAGAAAGGGAGAGGGAGAGAGAGAGAGAAACATCAATGAGGAGAGAGAATCATTGATCAGCTGCCTCCTGCACACCCCTCACTGAGGATCGAGCCCACAACCTGGGCATGTGCCCTGACTGGGAATCAAACTGTGACCTCCTGGTTTACAGGTCAACACTCAAACACTGAGCCACGCTGGCCGGGCCCATCTTAACTATTTTTAAGTTTACAATTCAGTTCACATTGTTGTGCCACCAATCTCCAGAACTCTTCTTGCAAGGTTGAAACTCTTTACCCATTAAACAACTGCAAATTCCTTCCTTCCCCACAGCTGTTAGCAACAACCATTCTATATTCTGACTATATGAATTTGACTATCCTAGGTACCTCATGTAAGTGGAATCATGCAGTATTTGTCTTTTGTGACTGGCTTATTTCACTTAGCATATTGTTAAAGTTCAACTATATTGTAGAATTCCTTTCCTATTTCAAGGCTGGATAATATTCCATTGTATGTATATACCACATTTTGTTTATCCATTCATCTGTTGATGGAAATTTAGGTTGCTTCTACCTTTTGACTGTTGTGAATAATGCTGCTATGAACATAGGTGTATAAATATTTTTGGGACCCTGCTTTTAATTCTGTTGTGTATACACCAGAAGTAAAATTGCTGGAGCATATGGGAATTCTATCTTTAATTTTTAGAGGTCTTACCTTTATTGTAAAAGATATTTAAAGAGTCTGGCTGGCGTGGCTTAGTGGTTGAGTGTCGACTTATGAACCAGGAGGTAAGGGTTCAATTCCAGGGCACATGCCTGGGTTGCAGGCTGGATTACCAGTGTGGGGCATGCTTTTTTAAAAACATTTTTTTTAAATCTTCACTCAAGGATATTTTTCCATTGATTTTTAGAGAGAGTGGAAGAGAGAGGGAAAGACAGAGAAATATTGATGTCAGAGAAACACATCGATTGGTTGCCTCCTGCATGAGCCCCAATCAGGTTCCGGGCTGGGGAGGAACCTGCAGCCGAGGCATGTGCCCTTGACCAGAATCGAACCTGGGACCCTTTGGTCGGCAGGCTGAAGCTCTGTCCACTGAGCCAAAACAGCTAGGGCTATTCTGCTCTTAAAAATACACACACACACACACACACACACACACACACACACTCACACACACACACACTAGTGGCCTTGTGCACAGATTCATGCACATTGTAAAGAAATTAATTAGAAGAAATATTTTAATATCACTATTGGCCCTTTCTCTGTAATAGAAGTGTCAGAGATGAAAGAAAATTAGTAAAACGTGTATGAAAATAATATATAAATTGATAAATAAATAAACAACATGATATAAAAACAACAAAAACATGATATAAAAACAACATTGATAAAAACAATGACTGATATATTGATTAGACTTATTCTAATATCTCCCTGTATACCACATTAAGTAAAAACACTTTCAGAGTGCTTGACTAATTTCCCTTGTGATGAAGTATTTACGACTTTAACTTTAACGTCACACGCTCTTCAAACTTGAGAGAAAGCAACATATAACTGACCATGTCCGAAAATGGGTTCAGGTAGGAATATTCCTAGTCTGTCTCTAGAGTTTGTCCTTGTGATTTATTAATAGTCATTACAAATGCTGGCATCACAGGAAACTGTCTTCGAATTAATTTAAATGGGAGGCCAGTGTCATATGGGGACAAATCAATTCTTGGAATCAGAACAACCTCTCCTTCCACAGATCCTGTTAATACTTCAGCTTCGATTATGTTAGGTCACAATCTTTTGATAATAAACCTAGTACCATTACAAAGACCCCATTTACTGTTAAGATTTCTCAGTAGCATGATGATTGCACCTACTTTCAATTTTAATTTATGACATGGCATTCCCGAAGGATTAATACTATTAAGAAATTTGATGGGAAAATTTTCCTTTTCGGCATCATCTGTTGAATTGATGGAATCATCACTCAAATGGTACATTGTGCCAATAGTTGGTCTTCAGACATATTCTACCAACGATGCTGCTTTCTTTCAGCTTCAGAATGTCAACAAAAACAACCAAATTCATGTCCGACAATGACAGATCGAAACACACGTGTGTGATTGGTGTCAGCGAGAGCTTTATATATATCACGCATGCGCAAGTCAATGTTTATTTTTATATTTTTTAAATATTTTTTTTATTGATTTCAGAGAGGAAGGGAGAGGGAGAGAGATAGTAACATCAATAATGAGAATCATTGGTAGGCTGACTCCTGTATGCCCCCTACTGGGGATCGAACCTGGGACCCTTCAGTCCGCAGGTGGATGCTCTATCCACTGAGCCAAACTAGTGTGGATTCAATGTTTATTTTATTTATTTATTTATTTTTATATATTTTATTGATTTTTTTACAGAGAGGAAGGGAGAGGGATAGAGAGTTAGAAACATCGATGAGAGAGAAACATCGAACAGCTGCCTCCTGCACAGCCCCTACTGGGGATGTGCCCGCAACCAAGGTACATGCCCTTGACCGGAATCAAACCTGGGACCTCCCAGTCCGCAGGCCGACGCTCTATCCACTGAGCCAAACCGGTTAGGCTCAATGTTTATTTTTAAATTGCCAGTGCGCATCATATATACTGGCTGGTTGGTTGGTCAGATGGTTGGTTAGACCGACAGTTGGTCACTTAGCCTTTTATATATAGAGGTATATATATATATATTTTAGAGAGGGAGATAGAAACATCAATGATGATCGGCCTCGCCCTACCGGGGATGGAGCCTGAAACCCAGGCATGTGCCCTGGCTGGGAATCGAACCATGACTTCCTGGTTCATAGGTCGATGCTCAACTACTGAGCACACCAGCCAGACACTCTATTCTAGTCTTAAAAAAAAAAATTTGTCCAAATTCATGAATCCTTTGAGATTTCACTGAAGCCCCATGAAGTTTTTCCCTGAGTGCTCATTTCATCAACACATATATAAATACCTCTGTGCTATATCCAAGGATATGTTTTTATTAAATTTAGAGAGAGAGGAAGGGAAGGAGAGAGACAGAGAGAGAAAGAAAGAGAAACATCAATCAGTTGCCTCCCATACATGCCCTGACCTGGGATTGAACCTGCAACCTTTTTGATGTATAAGATGGACGATGCTCCAACCAACTGATTCTTTATTCTCTTTCTTATCTGACTAGCCATATAGCATTATTGCTTGTCATTTTCTAGATGGTAAAATTGAGAAAAATTTGACCAAAACATATACTACTTTTCTATTTCCATTCTCCCCCCAACCTGTGCCACCAAAAAAGAAAAAGAAAGAAAAGCACTCTCTGCCCCACCACCCACCCCAAATAAATAAATAAATGGATAAATAAATAGTTTATTGGCCCTTAGAAATTATATTAAAAGTATAATTTAACTGTTGTTGCTATTGTTTTCACTATGCCCTTATGATGTGACAAGGCCTTCTAGGCACTGTAAGACAAGAATGAATATAATATACTTCCCAGTCTCAAGAAGCTTTATAGCCTAGTGAGGAGATATGTAAATTTATAGACAGAACTGTATGATGAATGGAATACTGGTGTTATGAATGTTGTCCTGAGGTAGTATAAATAATTTCCAGAGAGAGTAAAGGAAGACTTCAGCAAGGATGGGATATTTGAGTATAGCTTGAAAGATAAATAAAATTTGAGGAGCTATAAGAAAGGAGAATAATATTTGATGCAGATGAAAGACAAAATACAATGAGTTATGAACATGTTCATCATCTTGTCCACTTGTTTAAGGAAGTAGGGTTCTTTCTGATTAGTTTGAAACACAAGTTGTTTATCCCTGAATTTCACACATTGTTTTAATATCAGACTTTCTTAAAAGCAGACATTTTGTTAACAACTCAGTGTTTTCAGATGATGGAGGGGAAAAAAAGAAGAGTGACTTTCAGAATGGAGAGCTCTTATCAAAACAGAGATGTCTTCTGTAAATAGAGTTGGAAAAATACTGTCAGTGTGTTCTTTGTATATAAATGTCTCATTTAACTTATCCATGCAGGATCTGAAAAGGAAAGCTAGTTCTCTTTTATCAATCACGAGGTACATGACAACAGAATCATTGATGCACTAGGAAGAGAGTTGAATTCCAAATCTTACTAAGTGATCTAGAAGAGAGGAGAGATAGCCAGTGTTCTAAGTTTTTCTGATTAGGGTTCTTGTGGTTCTGAGTGTTTTCCTTCCTCCTCCCCCTTCTTCTGTCTGGCCACATTGTTCCTTTGAATTCTACCATAAGCTGTGATGTCTGTCCTATATTAATAGATATGCTAAACTTCTGGGCTATTGTCATTTCAATGAATTTCTGTGAAACAATTTTGGTCTTGGATGGAATAAATTCATCTTCATCAATAGACATGAGACCCTAATGTAATCACAGAGTTTACAGGAAAACATCCCCTACCGAGTCTATTTTATCTAAACTGGCACTAAAACACATTGGCATGTTCTACATGTGGAGATTTTGACCTCATATATTCCTGTTGTCCTTGAGCCTCTTTCTTGTCCTATTTTATTTTCCAGGTGCGCCACCGAGCTTCTGGTCAGGTGATGGCTCTTAAGATGAACACATTGAGTAGTAACCGGGCAAACATGCTGAAGGAAATCCAGCTTATGAATAGACTCTCCCACCCCAACATCCTTAGGTAATGGCTTTTTTTTTCCTTCCTAGGGGTCAGTGAAAAAGTTAAAACATTATTGGAAGCTTGTTAAATAGCATTAACAGCTAAAAAGAAGGATTCAAGATTTCTTGCTGAATCTGTCTTGCTGGGGTTTAGCTGTTGTGTAGGTCTTTTTCTACCTTTTGAGACTTAGTTTTTCTGGTAGTTAACTCTCCCTCCATCTCTGAAATCAATAAAAATATTTTTTTTTTTTTAAAAAGAGAAACTTTTCTTTACCTTCCCAGATTCTTTTGGCTGGTTTAATAATTAAATCTACATGAAACAGATTAATAAGAGAAAATAATTAAATTTAATTACATACATACTCATGGGAACTCCACATACCTGAGAGAGTCAAAGGTCCTCACATATATGAGAGCTTTAAAGACAGACAAGGAAAATGACATACATATATGACATTTTGAATTAAGGATGAGATAAGGCACCTTGGGGCTTCAGAAATTCATTGCAGGGGCATAAGAAGAACAGATATTCAGTAATTAATAGTTTGCCCTGCCATATAGATGGGTCAAAAAAAGTTATCTCTGATAATCTCTTATTATGAGCAAGGCCCCTAATTCAAATTCTTTTAGTTAATTAAAGGAGTGGGGGCGGAGGGCAGCAGCAGAAGTTTCTCCTCAGCCTACAGGGTCTAAATTGCCTTTAGCTCAAAATAATCTGCGTACCAAGAGATTATGTGTTGCCTAAGGGCTGTGACTCTGAGGACTGGACTCTTATCATGCTTCTCTTAGAAGTATTGAGGATTTGGTAGGATAGTATTGGTAGATAAAGGTGGAAAGGTAGAATTAGGCCAAATTATTCAGAAGTATTTTGCATAAAGCCAAGATTATATTTTATGCTCTGTGTATTGGAGTCGGAACAAGGACTAGCATGACAGAGGGTGACTGATGGCAATCTCAAAATGGTTGTTTAGTGTTGAGGAGACTAGTGGCCAAGAGATCAATTAGGGGGCCTCTTCAATATTTGAGAGTGAGATTTGATATTCTGCTTAGGAATTTTTAAACTGAACATATTTTCATCTTGCTTAAAAATAATATTTTTATGGTTTTTGCTCCTGTTATAGAAGTGATACATTATCACTATGGAATATTTAAAAAATAAAGTTAGCAAAAACAAGAAAAAAGTTGCCCTTAATCTCAACATCTAGGGATCAAACTAGTATTAACATTTTTTATATTTCCTACCAATATTTTTTTATTTCACCACTTCTTATTGTTTTCACTGTGAACTTGATTTGGGAATGTATGAGAAGACTAACTTTAAATAAATTTTATTGCATCACAGCAAAACTTAAAAAAATATAATTATTATGCCCTGGCCAGTGCACTCAATGGTTAGCACTTTGGCCTTCCCACTGAAGGATTGAGGGTTTGATTCCTGGGGGCACGTACCTGGGTTGCAGGTTCAATCCTTGGCCTGGTTGGGGTGGCTGGTGGGAGGCAACCAATCGATGTGTCTTTCTCACATCAATGTTTCTCTCTCTCTCTCTCTCTCTCTCTCTCTCTCTCTCTCTCGCACACCCCTCCCTCCCTTCATTTCTTTTCTATATAATAAAAGGAATTTCTTTCCTATATAATAAAAATCAACCCAATGGCAGAATGACCAGTTGCTATGACACGCACTGACCAACAGGGGGCAGACACTTAACTCAGGAGCTGCCCTTGGTGGTCAGTGCGCTCCCACAGGGGGAGCTCCGCTCAGCCAGAAGCCAGGCTCACAGCTGGCGAGCGCAGCAGTATTGGCGGCAGAGGTGGCAGCACTAAGGATGTCCAACTGTGTAGGGAGCGGGCCTAAGCTATCAGTCGGAATCTCCTGAGGGCTCCCTGACTGCGAGATGGCACAGGCCGGGCTGAGGGGGGACCCCCCTCCCAGTGCATGAATCTTGTGCACCAGGCCTCTTAGTATATATATAAATATGTTTGTTATACAATGGAAGTAGTATAGTATAATGATTAGAAATAAAGCCTCTAGCCCTAGCTGGTGTGGCTCGGTTGGAGCATGATCCCGTGCACCCAAAGGGTCTTGGGTTCAATTCCTTGTTAGGGCATATGCCCAGGTTGTGAGTTCCATCCCTCTTCCTCTCCCTCTCCCTCCCCGTCCCCCTCAAAAAAAAAATATATATATCCTCAGGTGGCGAATAAAAAAAACGTTATAAAAGAAATGAAGGCTTTAGATTCTAGACCAGGAGTGGGCAACCTTTTTGTGAGTGTGTGCCAAAACCAGCAAAATCTCTGACTCAAAATTCTTCTGCGTGCCAACCCTAATTTTGAGAACATATGTTATGCCTACTTGATATCTCTTAAGGTGTACGTATGTGAAGAACCTTGAAGAAATAATAAAATTCATTC